TGCCACCGAGAACCGCTGCAGCCCTGCCAGTTCTGGCCTCCGTGTCCTCACAAGTGCTGGGGCCCGTCCCCGCGCCTGAGGTGAGCAGGGACAAGACCCAGGAGCCCACCCCTGCTGGCCGTGTCCCCAGTGACAGCCCGGCCCAAAGAAACAGATCCCTTCCAGCCTGGAACCTCCTAGAAGCCAGGAAAGCCCTCGGAGACCAGCCGAAATGAGATCGATACCCGCTCATCTCCCGGAGGCACTTGCCTCAGACTCCTCTTGGGGCTTTAAGTCACACAGTTTCCTCTCGCGGCTCAGCCAGTTCCTTTGCTCCCTGCTGCCCTCAGGCCTGCTGCTGGCTTAGGGGGGCGGGGGAGGGGGTGCATTTTCAAGCAGCAGACACTGGGCTGGGGACTTAGCTCTGTGGCACAGCACATGGGGAGCCCTGGGTTTGGTCCCTGAAACTGTAAGAACAGTATAAAGGAACAACCCCACGTTGGCTCAGGGAGGACCCCTGCAGACAGGCACTAGCTTGGGTCAGTAGGAGCTACCGGTGCGGGCCTGTGGGCACGAGGTGAGCCCGGATGAAGGAACTCGCCGAGGCGGCTGTCCGAAGCTCAGAGGGGTAGGAGGGACGTGGAGGTGCCACTTGGGGCCCAGAATTTTTTGTGTTCCTGTGTGCGAGTCGGTGGACGTGTGTGGCTAAGCGCAGGCTCTCCCCACCCCACGCCTGCTCCAGGAGGCCTACTTCAAGAAGCACAAGTTCAACACCGTCCCAGGTGTCCAGCTCAGGAACGTGGACAGGTGAGGGGTGGGGGCAGGGGAAGGGGAGGAGGCCGAGGAGCCTGGAGGACCCCTCCCTGGCCGTCTCTCCCAGCTCCAGTCCTGCTGGCCCCCTCCCCCCATGTCCCAGGGCATCCCTTGCCCTGCCGTCGGGTCCAGAGAGACTCCAAGCACCTGACCGATTTCTCCCTCCCTTTAGCCTGAAGAAGGAAGCGTACGAAGTGGAAATTCACAGGCTGCTCAGGTACAGCCTCGAGCCGGCGGGGGGCGCGGAGTCTGGCAGCGGGCAAGGAGGAGGCAGGCCCGGGGGTCTCGGTCACTAAAGTGTGGGACTAGCTGCAGCACGGAAAGCAAGTGCCCTTGTCTAAAAATGGCTGAGCTGGGGCAGGAGAGGCAGCCCCTGTGGGAGGCCCAGGTTCAGCTTCCTGAGCTCCGCTGGCTCCGACTCCCACTCCGAAAAGGGGGAAGAAAAAAAACAAAAAACGGCCAGAGAGCTAGGACGGAGCTAACAGTGCTTGCAGCAGCCACCCCAGTTAGATCCGGGCACTGCATTCTGTTCCTCTGAGCACAGAGCCAGAAGGAAGCCCCGAGAACACCCGGGGTAGCCCCCACACTCAAAAACAAGAACCAAAGGGAAAACATGTCATTGGGACTGGATACACAGTGGATAGGGCACTTGCCTTGCCAGGAGCCATTCCTCAGCACAGCACCAGGAGTAAACCCTGACTGCCACCAGGTGTGCCACCCGCCACCTACCCCCCTGCCACAACAAACAAATTTACAGGCAACAAGAGCAGAGCTTTCCAGGGTGCCGCGCCTTTGTGTGGCACTCGGCAAGGCGGGCTCTGTCCTAACCCTCCCTCGCGTGCTGCAGTGAGGCCGAGGTTCTGGACCACACCAGGAACCCTTGTGAGGACTCCTTCCTGCCAGACACAGAAGGTCGCACCTACGTGGCCTTCATCCGGATGGAGAAAGACGATGACTTCACCACCTGGACCCAGCTTGCCAAGGTGCCCCACCCCCACCCCGTGGCACAGGGACCGCAGCTTGGTTCTGGAGCCTTCTACCCTGGAACCCGCCCTGTGTACCCCGAGAACCCGTTCTCCCACTCCCTTATCGATGTCCTAGTCTAGAAGACGCCGCCTCGTAAAAAGGGGGAAGGGGACTCGGGGAGGGCGGAGGTGGGCCGTGGGTCTTCAGCGCCCCTCGTCCCCCAGCATTCTCACTCCTCCCCCCCCCCCGCCCCATCCCTCCTCACCCAGTGCCTCCATATCTGGGACCTGGATGTGCGCGGTAACCACCGGGGCCTGTGGAGATTGTTTCGGAAGAAGAACCACTTCCTGGTGGTGGGGGTCCCTGCCTCCCCCTACTCGTGAGTGACCCTCCTGCCCTGGGAAGCGAGTGGGGGTCGGGGGGACGGGGACGGTGCAGCGAATGAATGGCCTCTGCCAACACATTTCTATTCAAATTATTGTTCTAGGGTGAAGAAACCGTCATCGGTCACCCCGATTTTTTTGGAGCCACCCCCAAAGGAGGAGGGAGCCCTGGGAGCCGCAGAACAGGCATGAGCCCTCCGGGACCCTGCGAGGCTGGGTACTGTGTACCCCCCAGCAGGCCAGCCCTCCACCCCATCCTGTAGGATTTTGTAGACGCTAGCCGGGGCTGGGCTGGTTTGTTCTTAACAAGCGACTTAATTACTAACTCCAAGGGGACGGTCCCCCTGCTCCACCCCCCCCACTCCACCCCCGTTCCTGAGTTTGGAGGTCTATTTATTTACCCCCTTGTTGGGAACGGGCAGGAGAACAGTTCCCTGGGGGTCGCCGGGACCCCTGGCAGTGGCTCCTGCCCTTCGTGTGCGCCCTTCTCCAGGCCCGGCTCCAATCTAACCTATTTATTGACTGTGGCGAGGGCCTGGGAAACAGGCAGGCGCCTGAAGCGCCCTTGCTCCCTTTCCGGACCGGGTGCTGCCCTGCGGGTAGGGCTGGCTCTTACTCAGGAAACTGCTGTGCCCGCCCCGTGGACAGGCCCGGCTGGGCCCACCTACTGAAGCAGACACACTCAGAGACCCTCAGACACTGAAATCGGCCACCTCTCAGCCTCTTCTTTGTCCAGGTTTCCAAAGCTGGATGAGGTGGTCATTGATTAAAAAAGGATAAAAACCTCTGGGCATGTGCGTCTTGTGATTGTGTGTGTGTGTGTGTGTGTGTGTGTGTGTGTGTGTGTGTGTATGAGTGTGTGAGCGCGAGACAGAGGAGAAAGAGGAAAAGTGTTAGCCTTGGGCACCACCACTGGGTGTGGCCCAAAACTCAAACAACATAAAAAGCAACAGGAGAAGAAAGTCATTGTTCTGTCGTTCTGCGCGCGCTGGTGCCTTTGCCCAAGCTGAGGGCTCGTCACTGGTGGTTCTGTGAATGCGGCTTGGCATTAGGGGATGAGGTTTTCGTTTCGGGCCACCACCTGGCGGTGCTCAAGACCTACTCCCGGCTTTGCACTCGGGGTCACTCGTGATGGGGCTCAGAGGGAACCATTTATGGTACTCAGGATTGAGCCCAGGTTAGCTGCATGCAGGGCACTTGGGTGCCGTACCTGCTATCCTGTCTTTCAGGTACCCCGAAGGATGAGTTTTGAGCCCCCCCCAGAGAAGGGACCTACCCGTGGCACTTCTGAGGTGGCCCGTGGGTGAGCCCGTGGGCGTCCTGGCCGTGGAGGCAGGCACCGAGCAGCACTGTCACCTCTGTCACCTCTGCCTCTGCTTCCTCCTCCACCAGCTTGGAGCCAGCAGGTCCTGTGTGGGGCTGTGTGGACATTTCTCAGCACCCTGACGCCTTCAGTGTTTGCTGGAGTTAAAGATAGCGCTGGGGGTGCCACAGCACCAGGGTGGAAAGCAGTGAGCCCACGATAAGGCAGCGGCCTGCCCTGAGCAAACACATGGCTTCGAGCTTTCATGCAGGCCCCTGGGGGAGGGGAGCAGGGGGAAGAGCCAGTGGCCTTCCTCTCGCAGCTGATCTGGGCCTCCCACATTAGTTCTCAGGCACCGTGTTGCTGCCCTGACCATGTTGCTAATCCTTTGGAGTCTCACTGAGGGGCGTGGGTTCTGGACGGCCCTGGGAGAAGGGGTCCAGGGAAGCAGAGGAGGGAGACTGGTTCGCCGTGTGGGACTTTTCCTCAGTGGAACTCACCATAGCCTCCAGCTGTGGCTTCCAGATTCAACATGTGTCAAGTCGACCTCAGGGACAGGGACAATATGGCCTTCAAATAATCGCATCAACACACATACCTGGCATTCTGAAATCCCTCTCTCTCTCCCTGTTACACACACACACACACACACACACACACACACACACACACACACCTGCCATTCTGGAGTTAAGACTCTTCTGGGCCCGAATCCATGCCCGGTTCTTCACCGAAGGAAACTAAGACATCGGCCTTTCTCGGCCCTTGTTTCTGGCGCCTGGAATGGGGATGGCTCAGACAGAGGGATGAGTTCTGTGGAGCGCCCGGCGGGCCCAAGTGTCCTCGAGAAGCCCCATCGGAGGCTGCTTGGGGGCTTTTCCCAAGGACTTCTCGGAGCCTGAGCGTGACCCTTTCCCAGTGCCCAGCAACATTTCCGGCTTCCCTACCAGTTTCTGGTTTTAACGCCACTCGGGCACAAGCTTGGTATTTTCATAGCGTTCCAGTCCAGTGCCCCCAGCACCCAGGAGTGGGGAGTTTCAGATTAGTCTTTCCTCCTGACAAGGCAGCTGGCCCAGTCCCCCGGCTCCTCGAACCCTCCCTGCCCATTCCTGTGAGGCCTGGAATTCTAAAGGAAGAGGAGAAACAGCCACTCCCCTCCACACCATTTCCTCCCGCTGCCTTCTGAGCCCCCAGCCCCCCTGGCGTCTGGGCTAGCTTAGACCCGGGGGCCCCCAAGGATACACGAGAGTCTAAATGGAATGTTTTTTAATCGGCTTGTGAGTTGGAAACTCCTGCACACCCACTCTGTGACTGCTGCTGCATCGACCTAGGCCACCGGGCCCCTTTCTCTCATCCCCCAGTGGTCTGGGATCCCTGAGAGCACCGCCAGGCTTTGGGGGGAAGAGCGGGGACATGTCAAGATGTAGGGAATAGACGGAGGACTGGCTGGGAAAACTGGTTTGCACTGAGGCGGCTCTGGACCAGGTGGACCCAATCCCACTATGGAAGGAAAAGTTAGGCACAGCCTGATCCGACTGGACCACAGTCCCGAGCAGCAAGCCGGGACCCACTCCAGTCTGATCCTGCTTCTCCCATCACTGCTGCGCGGGAGCACCAGAGTCCTTCCCAGGCCTCACACGGCGGCGGCGGAGACGGACGTGGACTTACTTGAGGTTGCAGTACAGATACATGGACACGATCATGGCCGCCAGCTGGAGGGGGAGGGATGACACCAGTGCCCTTAAACTTCCGTCCCCTGTTGGCAGTCTGCCTCCTCCAGGAAGTCCTTGGCCCTGGTCCAGTGGGTATGTCCCACCCCAGCTTCTTCACCCCCTTACCTCCAGGCCCCCAATTCCAGCCGCCACAGCACCCACTGCCACGGCATTGGTTCTGATGTCGGTCAGAAGCTGTTTGAAGCAGCCCTGGGGGGGCGGGGAGGAGAACACGGGTCAGCCTCGGCTCCCTCTCAGGGCCTGGGGCCTCCCAGCCTCCAACCCTGGCCCCAGCCCCAACCTGGATGTGCTGCTCCTCGGCCTTCTCCTTGGTGCAGGCCCCCGTGGCCGTGCCGTTGGCACTGAGGCAACAGAATGGGGGGAATTCGTGTTTCTCTTGGAAGAAGGGGGAGTCCTCAAAATCCGTGTAGTTGTTGAAGCCACAGCACTTGAGCTGGAGATGAGGAGAGGGAGGTCGGGGGGTCTCAGTCAGGGGGCCTCGCCGCTTCACCCACGCCACGCACCCCACTCCCCCCTCCCCCGCCTCACCTCCTTCATGGTGGTATTCCAGACTTCGGTGAAATCTTTCTGGGAACCGTAGTCCTTCTTGATTGTGGGCACTATCAGCAGCTCGAGGAAGTTCTCAGCCTGGCGGGGGGGGGCCCGGGGAAGTGGCCATCCGAGCTCCCAAGGCCAGCCCGTCCCTCCCCCGACCCGGGCCTCTGCCAACCTGCCCCAGTCCTGCCACTCACCATCGTGGTGTACACCAAGGCGACCACAGCGGCAGCGACCTCGGCGATGAAGATGACGAGGAGGATGAAGAAGAACTGAGGAGGGAGCAGGGCGCGTTGTGGGGGGAGACGGCCCCTCTGCCTTCCTAGCCCTCCTCCCCGCCCCCCCGTGAAAGGAAGCCAGGACACCCTTCGCCGAGAACGCTGGAGTCCAGAGCGGGCTTTGGGGATCCCCAGGCCCTGGTGCCAAGGGCGAGGGGCCCCTGGGGCAGAGGCATGGGGCAGGGGAGCAGGGCAGGACTCACCATCATGAGGGCGCACTTGCTCTCAGACTGAGCCCCGTAGCAGCCCAGGAAACCGAGCGCGAAGAGTACCGCACCCGCCGCGATAAGGAAGTAGCCCACGTTGACAAACTGCATGGCACTGGACGACAGCGGCCCAAAGATCTTCAGGAAGGACGCCCCATCGACGGACACCCAGATGCCCACCGCCAACAGGACCACGCCGCAGAGCTGGGGACAGAGAGGGAGGCTTGGCATGGTCCAGACAGACAGCTCCCTACGCCGTCCTCAGGGAGCTGGGAGAGGAGACACTCCCCCGGAGAGGAAGCCCCAGAGGGAGGAAAGACATTGATCGGGGGAAGAAGGATGGGCCCTGGACAGTTGGGGCCAGCGCCAGGCTGCACACCTTGGCAGGGGTTCCAGAAATCGCCGGGGAATTGGGGAGCAAGGATTTCCCTTGCCCCTCTCACTGCCGGGATCATGTCATACAGCTGGGAGTGAAAAGAAGCAGGTGAATACAACCTGACCCAGCCCCCTACCTTCCCCCGCCCCGACACCCCCATCTTGTCTCTGGCTAGTGAGTGTCCAGAACTGCTCTGTCTACGCGTAATAGGAAAGGAGGGGGGTTGCGCTGAGCTGGCACCACAGTCACCATGGCAACACAGGCGGGGCGGGGCTGACACCTGCTTCCAACCTTGGTGACCATGGTGGAGGGAAGGGACCCCCCCCCCCCCCCCGTCCAAGGTGCTCCAGATCTCCAGGGCCTGCCCTTCATCTCAGCCTTTCTCTCTCCTTGCCTCGCTGTTGGAAACTGAGGCACCAGAGCTCTGTTAGAAGCTCCCTGCACCAACCCCAAACCTCGAACTCGAAAGAACCCAGGCCAGTCCCGCGGTTTCGGGAGCAAAACCTCACTGGTCTGGCATCCCGGGGCTAAGTCAGCCTGACACCATGCTGGCACCCAGGTCCCACTTTTTTGCAGCCCTAAATCGACACTGAGGCTGGAACCAGGAGGGAGGTAGCAGATTGTGAATGGACCGCAGGCATGTTTGCCCAAGGACAGAAAACTGGGGCCTGCAGGGTCACATTTCAAGGAGTCTCGGGCCAGCCCTGCCCAGTCTGGCAAGTCCTGGGCAAGGGAGGACAGAAACCAAACCGGATTTGCCGTTAACCCCGCTGGGGCCAGAACCCTGGCTCTCTCTCCAAATCTCCAAAATCCCATTGACTTCTCTAAATACAGGGATAAAGGTTAGCTCCCAAGGAAGCCCAGACAGACACAGGCCACTGGGGTGTGAGAGTTGACTCACCCCACACTGCCCCAGAGTCATCGGCGCGTCACCCACATTTCCACCTTTCCTTCCGTTCACTCCGACCTACTCTAACGTGGCTCCAAGGCCTCTGTGCTGGGCGGCTGCTGAGGCCTTTTGCTCCGATGACGCCTCGCTCTCCTCGACCTCCCCCGCTACTCCCATCGCTCTTTCTCCACTGGCTTTCTGGGCAGCGCTTTTTCTTTATTGCGGAGAAGTTTCCTGAAGGGAGTCTCCCCAAGTGCTCACACACACCCATGGTTGCAGCGGCCATGACTGGGACACTTGACTTGCAGTGCCCAACTTCAGCCTGAGCTGCAACCCCCCCGGGTGCCCTGTGCCTGTGGAAATCCCCCCCCCGCCCGCCCCCACCCCGGGACTCACTCCTGAGAGGTGAGCATGATGCCCGGAACTTTTCCTTCCTTGCCCTTTCTCCCACCTCTCTGCCACCCTCTCAGCGCTCTGCCCCTGGTTTTTTCATCGCCAGGATTCATGCCCGATTGCTCAACTCCTGCAAACAAGCCTATAGATATATATAATCTCTTCCTGGTTTTTGAACACTGGGTCTTTCCACTTGTGGATTTCCTCCCTTCCTTCCTTCCTCCACAAAATCTCCTCTGACCAGGAGATGAAATCCCTCGAAGGGCTCTCCTGGCCCTGGGCTAAGTAGGATCAGACCTACACCAGGAGGTCGCTCCTTTTGCCTGAAGGATATGTTGGGCCTGAGGTCCTTGAGGGCAGAGAAAGACCTTGCTGGCGGATCACCCCCGCACTTAGCACAGGATCAACCCAGTGGCACCTCCGACTACTGGGACCCCGATGCCTATCCAAAGGGGCAAAGCGCCCAGTCCCCCTGCCATCCCGGGCATCTGGAAGGCAGATGCCCGGGACTTCACAGCCCGGGTGTTGATTCGACAGGCAGACCAGGACCCTGCTACGGGGCGTGCTGCTGAAGCCCCTCCCAAGGGGAACCTCGTGGGACCTCGTGCGCGTGGTGACCCTCCCTGCGGGGAGACCCAAAGCCCCCACCAAGCCCGCACTTACAAAGATGAGCATGTTGAAGATGATCATCATGGTCTTGATGAAACTGAAGCACTGCATGGTGGCTCCTGGGAGGCAGAGAGAGGGGGGTGAGCCCCTGGCTCCCGTCCCGGGCGGGCCTGGCCTCGCACCAGACCACACCGGACCACAGGGTCCTGTGACCCAGGAACCCCAGGTTTTCTGGGAAGATGGGGACACTGACTCCCAGCACTGGCAAAGGCTCTCCCCACTGGCAATCACGACCTCCCCTCCTCCGCCTCCGCCCTGCACTGCCCAGACCCGACCAGCACCTGCCACCCCAATACCCCAACACCCCAGGGCGCCTCCGGCCGGACTCCACGCACGTCCTTCCCTGGCACCTGGTGACCTGGGTCTCTCCCCAAGCCCAACAGAGATCCTCCCAGAACCTTCCCCAGGGCAAATCTGGCCAGCCGCGCGCCCCTTCCCCCCAAACTCGTTTCCAGATGGACTCTGCATTTCGCGGGAGAAACCGGCCCGTGCGCTCACCGGTCGGTCGGGGCTGTCGGGAGTGAATTCCGCGCGCGGGTCCAGCCGGGGCTCCGGGGGCAGCTGGAGGAGGGCGGCCGCCGGGCGGGACGCCGGGGTGCAGGAGGCCGGGGTGCAGGAAGCCGGGGTGCAGCTGCGGGCGCTCACCTGCGGAGGCAGGTGCTTTAAGGGCGCCTTTCGCCCGCCCCCGCGCCCCACCCCGCCCGGCGGCTGGCGGCCCCTGCTGGCCCCTGCTGGCCCCTGCTGGCCCCTGCTGCCCCCTGCTGCCCACTGCTGCCCGGAGCGCCGTCCCCTCCGCGGCCGCAGCCTCCGGGCAGCAGTCAGTGTCCATCCTGATGACAGACGGGAGGCGAGTGACCGCCCCCCGCTGCCCCCTTTCTGTGCGTCTTGCAACCCCCGAAGGAGCCGCCGACCCCCGGGAGCCTCCTCCGTCCGCGGACACTCGCGCACAGCCTCGGGGTGGGGCGCGGACACACGCGCGGGACGCAAGTGGCCACCTCGCACCTGCCCCGCGGGCACACCTGCGACAGCGCCCCGCCGCCCACTTTCTAGGAACGGGCCGGGCTGGGTCATCCTTGTGACCGTCCTCCGGGTTGCCAATGCCTCCCAGACCCAGCTCTTCTGCAAGACATCCCGTCCCCTCTTCTCCTCCCCTGATTTTTCCCTCTCCTCCCTCCGGCTTGGCTCCTGCCCAGCTCCCGGCCTCTCCCAGCCGGCTCTGCACACCCTGTCCCCGGCAGGTGGCACAACAGTCCCACAAAAGCGGCACCCTCAGGCCCGGAGACCCTTTCCCTCCATCCTTTCTGGCTGCCTGTCCCGCCCCAACACTCTGGAAAAGGTTTGGCATTCAGGAGACGCTGACCAAGTGTCAGGTTCTGGTTCTGTGGATTTTCGCCGTGTGCTCCCGGAGACAGTTGCTAGAGTTGGTTGTGAGTCTCGAGTTCCTGGTCGGTATGGTGGGGCTTTTGTTGGCGTTGTTTGTTTTGGGGTTACACCCAACAACATTTGGGTGGTTGCTCTCAGGATCAAGTGGCTGGTGGTTGGGGAAGTTACCTTGGTCACCCACAGGCAAAATATGTGCTCCAGCTTTGAGCCGTCTGCCTGGTCCTGTTAAGTAGTTTCTTGGGTTTGGTTTTGGTTTTGTTGTCATGCCCAGAGGTGCTGGGTGAGATGCAGGGGATCGAGCCAGGGCCGGTTGCATCCACAGCAAGTGCCTTAAGCCTTCGACTATCTCTGCGGCCCAGCTCTGTTCTGTTTTGAGACCTCTGCCTAACCAGAGCCAGCAGGAGTGAGAACGTGGGGGCATGGGGGCGGGTCACAGTTGCAGGGGAAGGACGGATGGAAGAAGCTGGCTTGAAAGTCTGCCATGCTGGGGATTGAACCTAGGGCCTCACCCAGACAAGGGAAGCCTCTAGTTTTTCTCCCACTGAGCCACATCCCTAGCCAAAAAAGAAAAAAAAAAGCCCCACAAAAAATGTTGGGGGGGAGGGGGAGTTTGGTCCACCCCAGTGGTATTTGAGATTGTACATCAGTTGCTTTTTGCTTCTGCGTTTTGGGTCACACCCAGCGAAGCACAGGGGTTACTCCTGGCTCTGCACTCGGGAGTTACTCCTGGCGGTGCTCAGGGGACCCTATGGGATGCTGGGAATCGAACCCGGGTCGGCCGCGTGCAAGGCAAACGCCCTCCCCGCTGTGCTATCGCTCCAGCTCCCCAGTTTTTAAGTGTATTACAGGTTTTAAGTGTATTACATATATAGCAAAAATTTTTGCCCTTTTACAATGTTCTTATAAGAGTCTCTCTCTCTCTCTCTCTCTCTCTCTCTCTCTCTCTCTCTCTCTCTCTCTCTCTCTTCTCTGTCTCTCCATCTCTCTCTCATTTTTAAATATGGGAAAAAAGAGTCAGTCATAGGAAGGTTTACTGCTTGTTATGGTCACAAAGATTATGACCGAGCCAAGTTTTATCACACTACTTGTCCCATCTGGTCCCTTTTGGGGGTCACACCCAGCAGTGTTCAGGACTTACTTCTGGTAGGGATCACTCCTGTCCCTGCTCAGGAGATCATATGTGGTACTGGGTATAAATTAGGGCTTGGCCATCACGGTCACGGTCCTCCTGTTGTTCATCGATTTGCTCGAGCGGGCCCAGTAACGTCTCCATCGTGAGACTTGTTGTTACTGTGTTTGGCATATCGAATACGTCACGGGGAGCTTGCCAGGCTCTGCCGTGCGGGTGAGATACTCTCGGCAGCTTGCCGGGCTCTCCGAGAGGGGCGGAGGAATCGAACTCGGGTCGGCCATGTTGACTGCGTGCAAGGCAAACGCCCTACCGCTGTGCTATCGCTCCAGCCGCTTGGCCATAGAGAAGGAAAAGGCCTTAACCCCTATTACTATCTCTCCACTCCCCCACCCCCCATGTCTTTTTTCTTTTCTTTTCTTTTCTTTTCTTTCTTTCTTTCTTTCTTTCTGGGTCACACCCAGTGATGCCCAGGGGTTCCTCCTGGCTCTGCGCTCAGGAGTTACTCCTGACCGTGCTCAGGGGACTATATGGGGTGCCGGGAATCAAACCTGGGTCAGCTGTGTGCAAGGCAGACACCGTACCCACTGTGCTCTAGCTCTGGCCCCAAGAAACCATGGCTTAACTACCAAATAAACTCTCTCTATTCAGGGAGTCCCTAAGATGACTGACTTCCAGAAGGAGCACAGTTGAGGTTTTATATATAATTTGGTTTTTGGGGGTGTGCCACACCACGTGGTGCTCAGGGCTTACTCTTTTGTGTGTGTGTGTGTGTGTGTGTGTGTGTGTGTGTTTTGCTTTTTGGGTCACACCTGGCAATGCACAGGGGTTACTCCTGGCTCATGGACTCAGGCATTGCTCCTGGCAGTGCTCGGGGGACCATATGGGATGCTGGGAATCAAACCCGGGTCGGCTGCATGCAAGGCCCAACCCGCTGTGCTATTTGTCTTGCCCCTCAGGGCTTGCTCTTGGCTCTTCACTCAGGAATCATTCCTGGTAGCGCTTGAGGGAAAGTCTGGGCAGATAGGGACCAAACACCTGGTCAGCCGCACGCAAGGCAAGCACCCAACCCGCCGTACTCTCACTCTGGCCCCATCCTTACTTTTCAAGTGCCGTGGATGGACTTGGGACTTGTGCTTGCAAGTCAGGCTTTTTATCGCTGAGCCGCAATCCCTGGCCCAGTGACTAGATGCTGATAGAGAGATTTCTAAAACTGAGAATGTCAAGAGTAGATATTAGAGGGGAGGAAATATGAATCTTTTAAAATGGATGATATTAAAGCTCCTGGTGGGTTCCTGTGGGGATAGAGAAAAGATGGTTTGGGTGGGGGCGTGCCTACAGGTAGAGTAAGAGAAAAAGGGAGACGGACTGTGGAATCTCTGGAGAAGGAGCAAATCCTAAATCCGATAATGAATCGGTGCAAAGTCTGGCAGATCCATTATGTCCCTGTCTCCTAGATGAGACTAGGAGACCCAGGCTGGACGCCTAGCGCTGCGGGGACTGAGCTGTTCCTTCCTCTGCATCCATTGCCTACAAGGCTTCCTCTTTCACTTAGGAAACTGCGATCAGGTCACATTCTCCTGCTCCCCAGTGCCCAGCATAGGAAGTTACTGGTGAACATTTTCTGAATGAATGAATGAATGAATGAATGAAGAATAGTCAGAGTTAAGTGTCTTGGCTTTGGACCTTAACCCTCATGGGCTTAATGTTCATTGTCTTTATTTTGTGGTGCCAGGGATCGAACCCAGGTCTAATGACCGTGCATCCAGGATTCCAACTCCCACCTGATTCTGACAATGACTTCGCCTAACAACCTTGCACAGGGGGTCCTCGTTATTCATAGATTTCATAAACGTGAGTTGACCTGCTCCTTCCATTTACTCATCACCCAAACCAAGACCGATGGCACTTTTGCTACTCACAGACATGTGCCGAGGTACAACAAATCTGAGTTGTCTAGCACAGGCTCTCAGCCGAAGCTGAGCAGGGCCAGACTCCTCCTTGTTCCAGCTTTCACGCCGCGAACAAGTCTTCTTCCTATGGTCCATGTCGTATCGCACTTTCTATTATTGCTGTTGGGGGTGGGGCATAGTTGGTGCAGTGTCCAGGAGCCACTCCTGGTGGTACTGAGGGGACCACATCATACCAGGGATCAAACCTGGGGATCTTGAATGCAAAACCAGTGCTCCAGCCCTTTGGGACATCTCCTAGATGCTGTCACGCTTTTTTTTGGGGTGTGTGTGGGGGTGGGGGTGGAGGGCTCATACCCAGTGGAGCTCAGGGATTACTCCTGACTCTGTGATCAGGGAGCACGCCTGGTTAGGGAACTTTATCTGATGCCGGGGATTGAACCTGGGTCCACGGCATGCAAGTCAATCACCCTTCCTGCTCGACTTTGCTCCAGCCCACTTGGTTTTTGTGGCTGTTGTTGAGTGTGTGTTTAAGGGCCCATTTGAGAAGATACTGGTGAAGGGCCACCAGACTTATACAGGGCGCTGCTAGAAGTGAGGCCTGTGGTGACATGGACTGAACTCAGACCCTGAG